TGATGATAGAGTCTATAAGCATTATAGAAAGATCTAACAGGAATAAAATGACCAGATTTAGTTAACTTGTCCACAATAACCCTAGTAGAATTCATACCTCTAAGTCTCCGACGTAGACCAACAATAAAATCCATAGTTACGTTCTCCTATTTCCATTCCGGAATAGGGAGATGTTGAAGCAATCTTGCCAGTTTCTAATGTTCAGCTTTAACCTGTTGACATTGAAGGCACCTGGATACAAAATCAGCAATTTCCCTCTTCATGTTAGGCCACTAATAACTTTGCTTCAGATCTTGATAGATTTTAGTGGATGCATAGTGAATTTGGACTTGTGAGCTTCTTCCAAGATTCTTCTTTTATAGTCAGAAACACTGGGAACACACAATCTTCCTTGAAACCTTAACACTTGATTCTTAACACTAAACCCCGGTGTTGGATTTAATTCTATCTCATCATATGCCTTTTTGAGGAACTCGTCCTCCATTTGCTTTTGTTTGATCTCTTCAATAATTGCCGGTTGAGTTGAAATTGCATCTAACATTTCGCCTTGTTCATGAAACACCACTTCAATCTCGGATCTTTCGAAGTCTTTCAACAATTCTTTATGTTCGGTAATCAAACATGCCAAGTTTCCCATTGACTTTCTACTACGAGCATTGACTATGGTATTGGTTTTACCCAGATGATACTGAATCTATAAATCACAGTCTTTAATCAATTCCAGCTATCTTGTTTCACGCATGTTTAACTCCTTTTGAGTGAAGAAGTATTTCAAACTTTTATAGTCAGTGTAGACTTCACATGTTGCTCTATGGAGGTAGTGGAAACAAATACAACAGCAGCTAACTCTAAGTCATAAGCCAGGTAGTTCTTTTCATGTTGCTTTAGTTGTTGAGATGCATAAGCTATCACCTTTCCATTCTGCATAAGCACACAACCAAAACCCTTATATGAAGCATCTCTATAAATTATAAAACCCCCCATACCTTATGGCAATGTCAAAATCGATGATGTAGTTAGCCTTGTTTTCAATTCTTGGAATGTGGCCTCCCTTTTATTCGTCCATTCAAATAGATCTCATTTCCAAGTAAGTTGAGTGAGCGATACGACTTTTTTTTAGAAGTCTTTCACAAACCTTCTGTAATACCTACCAATCCCATAAAACTCCGAACTTCTATCACATTTGTCAGTATAGGCCAATTCGCAATTGCTTCAATCTTTTGCTGATCCACAGAAATTCCATCCCTATTAATCACATGTACTAGAAACACAACTTTATCCAACTGGAATTCACATTTTTTCAATTTTGCATACAATTTCTTCTCCCTAAATGTTTGAAAAATGATTCTCAAATGTTGTTCATATTCTTCTCTACTTTTCGAATAAATCTATATGTCATCAATAAACACAACTACAAATTCATCAAGTTAAGATTTGAAAATTCGGTTTGTAAGGTCTATAAAAGATTTTTGTTCTTAATAAGTCATCAATACGACGTAAAGGATATTTGTTCTTAATCGTTACCTTATTCAATTCTCGGTAATTGATGCACAATCGAAGTGTTCCATCTTTCTTCTTCACAAACAGAACTGGTGCACCCCACAATGAAGTACTAGGTCGAATAAATCCCTTATCAAGAAATTCTTGTAATTAAACTTTAAATTCTTTCATTTCAGCAGTTGATATATGGTACAAAGTCTTTGAGATAGGTTATGTATCTGGCATGACTTCAATTGTAAACTCAATCTCCCGATCAATCAATTCTCCTCGCAATTCTTCCAGAAACACATCTATAAATTCCTTAACTACTAGAATTGTAACGCCCCAAAATCCGAGACTGTCAAATAAGTATAATAAAACAATACAAGCAGGATAGATAACCAAAACATCTTAATATACGTATATAACCAGAGTTAATATCACAGATAATTCATTTGTGTTCCATTACAAAATTACAAAACATTGCCATACCAAAAGTCAAAAAAAAAAAAAACAAAAAACAAAAAACAATGACAACAATAACAACAACAACTAGTCTAAGTCTTCAAGTGAACTATGGCTCCAACACTTCATCTTGTTTGCCTTCAAAATAACCTTTACCATTGTAAATTGCTTCATCACCTGCCATGACACACCATGAGCTTGGAATGCCCAGTAAAAACACAAACACCCCCATACCTTCTATCAACCAATCAACCATACACAAAACAAATCGAGAAACATAAAATACAATAATACAATAAGGTACTTTGAGTTAGTAGTTAGACTAGACATCTAGAATCCCCCAAAGAGATCATTCCTCCTAACCACAAGGATTGGACACCAGATTATTCAGAACTCTCCATTTTGCTGCTTTGCAAACCTTACCACCTATGCCCACACCGATTATTTACTAGGTAGGGATACGGTGGACCTCAAAAAGGATGACCAAACAAGTTGGCTATCTTACACCCAAATCGGGCCTAGGGCTCGCTCACACTTTGCACATACCATACCAAAAGGCTCGCTTACACCCTGAAAACACCGCATAAAGTCTGAATACATCCATGCCATCCTAGGGGTTCGCTTAGACCTCTTTAGCAAGACTTAACTCATTTGGTATTAATTCCATCACAATTCATCTCATTCATATGTATATTACATAAATCATTCCGTAACACTAATGTGAACATAACCCATTACCAACCCCTTTTCATTTCCCATTTATTAGATATTTTGATAAGCAAATTAGTCACATTCGGTAATATAAAAGAGCATAAGGCAAACATAAGAGAGGAAATATAGCTCATGATAATCATACATAAGTATGGTAAGGTAAGCAAACAACATTAGGCATGTTTTGAAGTACTTGGAAAAAAATAACACAATAAGGCACAATTTCCAGCATTTTTCAGAATTGCAGAGTTAAAAAGAATACTTTGGTAAAAATACTTCCAGGTCATATTAGGGGCTGAAATTGCACAACAACAATAAACAAACATGTCTATTTTCAGTTTCAATTTTCAGTATTTGCACAGCACATCCAAAAATTCATCTACAAGCTATGTTCAAAAACCTGTCCAGATTTGTCCCCTTTTGGGAAAACTAGCTTTCCTCTCAATCTACCTAATGATTTCCACCCAAATAAATTCGGTTGGAAAGAGGACTCAGAATTCTAAAGTTTGACAGAAGAACCAACATGAGATGATTTTTTTGCAATTTTATAAAATTGCAAGAAATGGACTATTTTTAGAGACTCAGGACCAAATTTCTTAAACAAAATATCCAAGCCCTAAAAACACAAAATGAGGGGCTAATAAAATTATCATAAGTTCTAAACACACCAAATATCCTATATTAAATTTATATTTGAGAAATAAATTAATTTGATATTTCTTTTAAAATAGAGAAGTTGCAACAGTACATATTTTGAACAAAAATGCAAGACAAAGTCACCAATTCATACCCAACTTGCATACACACCAAAACCCTATTTACGATTAATATATGACACAAAAGCATACTAGAAAATAGGGTGAGATGGGTGAAAGAATTGGAGAAGACAAGAGAGAGATGTGGTTCTTACCTTAACACAAGAAAGCAACTTTTCTTCCTTTTCTTTTTTTTTCGTCTTCTTCTCCACTGCCCTCTAGTCACAATCTCCTCCTCTCACCCTCTCCTTGGCTGCTGAAAATGTGAGTAAGGAATTGGGGAAATGGTCTCAATTTATAGGCAATGAGTTTGGGTTGAAAATACAATTTTACCCTCTAACTTAATGACTAAGGAAAGTAAAAGACTAGTAAATATCTAGATTATTTTTCTCAAGTCTTCTAAGTGGTTCCACACCCAATTTTCCCCAAAATAATATTTATAAATACCTATGTAAATATTCATTTTCAAATAAATAATAAATTAAAGAAAAATTGATAAAATGTATTGATTAATTTAGAGACTAAGAGGTAAAATAAATAAAAACCAAGTGTTAGGGTATTTCCAATTATAAAGTGAATAAATAAAAACCAAGTGTTAGGATATTTCCAATTATAAAGTGGCATTCTAGGATTTAATTATCATAATATACGGGAAAATTATTCTTTATTGGACCATTTTGCAGACTTTTACGAAACCAAGGGCTAAAATGTTATTAACTTGAGGCTCAGGGTTTCAAGTGTAATTACAAAAGTTAGGGTCTTTACAGGAATATTATCTAAGGTAGCAACTGTACATTGAACATTCAAAATACTACATAGATAATCCCGACATCCCTTCTTAAGTAGTTTACATGCTTTTATTGCCAAAATTAAATAGGATGGAGGTACTACACCATTACCCTCAAACAAAAACTCATCTTATCCCGGTGGTCTAAACAAAACTCATTTTGTTACACAATCAATGGTAGCACAATATTTAGGCAGCCAGTCCATTTTCAAAATCACATCAAAATGTCTTATATCAAGACGCAGTAAATCCACATATAATGTAGCATTCCCAACAAGAATTTCACAAGAAAAATATATAGATGTACATAAAACAGATCCCCTTGATGGTGTAGATACACATAACACATAATCCAATGATTTCATAGGTATATTCAGTTTTTGAGCAAACAATGTAGAAACAAGGGAATATGTTGAAGCCAAGGCAATTAATATGTATGCATCTTGATTGCAAATAGAAAGAGTACCTGAGACGATAGCCTCAATATTCTAAGAATTCCCCAGGACGAGTGCAAAGACTCTCCATTGTCTGAGTGAATCTCTTGTAATAGTAGATCTTGTAGTATATCTTGGCATAAGAATTGATCCGGGTGAACTAGTGGCTCGTCTTCCACCACTTTGTTCATTTTGAGGAAAATCTCTCACCATGTGACCTGTTTTACCACATCGAAAACAAGCCCCCGAAGTACAGTAGTGTGCTTCCAAATATTTCTTACCACATTTAGTACAAGTTGGTACTGAGTCCTTTGTCGAATTGGAAGCACTTGATGTTCCCAAACTTTGATTCTTAGATGATACCGATCCTTAATTCGAATAAGAGCCCTGCATTTTTCCTTTCCATTCAAATGGTCGATTGTGTGAAGCCATATTTGATTCGGACATTAAAGCCCTATCCAACACATCCACATACTTTGAAAATTTCAGAACATTCACTCTCTCTTGAATTGAACCTCTAAGCACACCTTCAAATTTCCTCGCCTTTTTATAGTCAGTGTCAACCATGTGCAGTGCGAATTTGGCCAACTCAGTGAATTGCGCCTCATATTCAGCTACTGTATGATTGCCTTGCTTCAATCTTTCAAACTCAAACACTTTCCAATCCCAAATGCATTGCGGGAAATATTTTTCATAAAAGACTTCAAGAAATTGTGCCCAATTGATTCCTTCATCCTTATTCCCAATCAACATCCACCATCTACGGGCCTCACCTTCCAGAGTAAATGCTGCTAACTGAACTTTCTGTGCATCAGTGCACAAAAATACCTCAAATAATTTTTCAATGCCAAGTACCCAAGCCTCGGCTTTCAGAGGATCAACTCCTCCACAAAACAATGGCGGTTTCATCTTTTTGAACTCTTTAGTTAAAGCAATAGTGCGGTCATCCGCTTGATGTGCTTGTATCAAAGGTAGTACAGGCAATGGTGGAGATGGAGGCAGTTGTTGCTGTTGTTGCCTTAGTGTTTCGGCCATATCCTAAATCATTCTTTCCATTCTATCCAAATGGGCGGTAGAAGATTCTTCTATTTCATCTACCCTTGTTCTCACCATGATCTATATAAACTCATATTATAATAAACATAGAAATTTGCACATATACACTTAGGCATAACAATTCAGAATTCATATATTCACATGGTTGCATAATCTTAATGCACACAATCATATACTTATCAAACATATGTGTCCTTAAGTATTTTCTTAACATCTTAATGCTCATTTGGACAAGTGCGTGAGTTATCAACTCGTGCTCTGATACCACTCTATAACAACCCAAACCTGCCCCTAGAGGTTCGGATCATAGCCGGCCAATAATTATGATATTACCTATGGCCTCGGACAAAATCTCAAGTCATACTTAAGTATATAGGGCCAAAAGCGGAAGCAGAATAGTAAAATTTTGTCCAATGAACTGTGCATATATGGCATAAACTAAACTTTCATATGTTAATAACTCACATCCAAAACATATGTACATACATAATTACATATCCAAAAGTAATACATGAGTACAAGTCATCAACTTGCAAAACTCTAAGAGTAACTACAAAACGTGGTCAAACATGACCTACCAAAACAAAAGGGAAACAAAAGCCTCATCCGAGAGGCACTTCATAGCTGACTTCACAAAAACACAGCTAATCTTCCACATAGTCACTAGGGTTGGTCATCCCGCTACTCACCTACATATATATATATATATATATGTAATGGAATGAGTTAAAGCCTAGTGAATAACATCAAAGTAAACGGATTACATAAATGAGTCCCAATACTTAGCATAATCATTCTCATATCAAATTCATTACATAGCAGAACGACCTCAAGTCCAATACATGATAGAATGACCTCTGTTCCAAAACATATAACAAATGTACAAACCAAAACGAATTATAGCTTGGTAGAATAACCTTGGGTCCAATTGATTACAGTTGTATCAAATCATATAATGACCATTTGGTCAAGCACATTTCAGATATTCCAGATTTAGCAGATATACAGAACGACCTTGGGTCCATCATACACATTCATACTTTGTCAATCACATTTACAAATATCATGTTGATCAAACAGATAGAAAGCTCATTCATACTTACGAAATCATAAGTTTGGAAAAGCTTACCAAAATAGAACATTTAGAAAATAGATTACACAAAAATATCTTTACTAAGATATTACTCACAGTGATTAGATTGTTGTCACGTCTCTGTGGATCAACCTACACAACAGATAAACATATACACACAATGTAACTCAAAGCTTACTCGAATCCTTCCTTTCTTAATCAATTCATTTAAGTCCAATTCTAACTCATTAAATCATTTGGGAGGCTTAGCTCATGCCTAAGAATGCTTGGAAAGAAATGAGAATGCAAATGTGAATAGAATGTGACTTTCCAAAGTCTACTGGAATAGGACAGCTCACTCGAGCGCACAATTGGTCACTCGAGCGGACTACACGGTCTGCAAAAGTACTGGATGCTCAAAATCTAGGCTCGATGGTTGCTTAAGCTATCAGCAATGAAAACTGAGGTCGCTTGAGCCATGAGCAATGAAGACTGAGGTCGCTTGAGTGATGTGCAATGCTCTACAAAAATACTTGAAGCTCTCATTGTGCGCTCAAGCAATAACTTCTTTGCTCAAGCGATGAGGCTGAATTCTGGGTTTTCAAAACATGAAGAAAGATGCTCCAAACTCAATTCCAAAGCAAAAACTCTTGCATGGCTTGTCCAAATACTTAGAATACTTTGAAAAACATGAATATATAGTCAATTTCAAACGCTTAACTCAAAACTTCAAGAATTCTTCAAAATTGAAACTCAAATCTCCATACATGTGTAAATTAGTTTCAAACTCTTTCCATAACTTCCAAATCATGAAATTCAACTTTAAAACTCTATGAATCATTGTAAGATACAACTTCTAAATTCAACATAGATGACATGAATCATGCTCAAAATGATGAACCTTCACAAATTTATGCATGCATATATGTCTAATTCCAAATTCATCATCTTTAAGCCATTTTCTTGTGATTAATCTCAAATTCTTCCATGATTACATGATTAGATGACTTGATTACATGAATTAAAGATCAAACTCTTACCTAGAGTCTTGAATTTAGCTTGTTCTAGCAAAATGTTGAGTTCCTCTTCTCAATTCTTCAACCTCCTAGCAAATTCTTCAAGTTCTTAAGGTCTCTCTCTCTCTCTCTCTCTCTCTCTCTCTCTCTCTCTCTCTCTCTTTCTAGAACTTGAACTCCCTCTCTATAATTTTTCCAACACAAATGACACAAAATGAACTCATTCTTCTTCTTAAGGCTCATATATACATGTGATTAGCTTAGCATGCTAATTATGGATTAAGCTAATTAGTTAAGGCTTAAAATTAATTAAACAAAACCTAATTTTACAAAACTGTATCAAATTTTAATCAAACTTCCCAAAAGGCTCTAAAAATTATGATAGCCTAATTAAACTCATCAAATTTGGTTTCTGAAGTCATTAAGGCTTTCAATTTTAAATTCATAATAGAAATCATAACAGATAATTCACCAATCAAACCAATACACACAAATTAATCACTAAACACATAATTAAAATTCAAAATTAAATAAGCAAAAGCATGTTATGTGGTGGGGTTATCACGCTGTCTTTCAATTGTGCAACTAGAACTCCTATAGGGATTTTAGTATGGCCACTTGTCTGGCCTTGAGTGCTTGATGCTTGGCCACTTGGCTGGCCCTTTGGAGCCATTTTTTGGCCCTCATGTTGAACATCACCACCATCAGCTAAGACCAAGTCCTCGTCTACTTCTTCTTTCTCAAACTCGACAGGCTTTTTCTCCATATGCTTGTCTTTTTTGTTTCTTTGTCTTCACCATTGTTCCAAATTAAGATGTTGTCCCACTAGACGTGCCAAAAATTGTTTGTAAAAATTATGCTAACTCCCAATCGATAAGAATTGAACAACAATTTAAACTAAACAATCAACCAAGAGTAATCAAACGATTGTATTTTTTATTCAAATGCCTTGAAAGTACAAAGACTTCTTTAGAACAAAATTACAATTGACAATACAAATGAAGTAAACAAAGAAAACAAAAGATGATTTCGAGATGAAACCACCGAAGTTCACAAAGGTTACAAATTACAGAGAAACTACTCCTAAATTGATGAACTACTCCTAAGATTAAGCTAAGTCTAAAAACTAGTTGTTGTGTTGTTGATGATCCTCCCCTCTGTCAAATCTTTAGTTTTTATATCTTCCTCCTCTTTTCTTGGCCCATGATCGCATGATCCTTCCCAACTTGCAATTGTAACTTTCATAACTGCCATTGTAACTACCTCCCTACTCCCAAGCCTTCAAACTTCATCAAACCTTCAAACCTCCCTGTCGAACAGCTCTTCTCTATGTTACCACATGTCCCTCAACACTTTGAACACCATATCGACAAGGGAAAGCACTCCATTTCGCACATGCTCCTTTCTGAAAATAGTCCACCAAGTCCATGACTTCATCTGATAACTGCTCCACCAGTTGGACCAGCCTATGCACGTAATCAACTTTTTCATGCCACATGTTCCTCTGACTGATGAAGGGTTCTCACTTTGACTCTACCCTGTGTCATCCTTTGATTGGTCCACCTGTCAACAAGAATTTTACAAAAATGAGTGTAAATAGTTAGTATATTTTATTTACATCTCACCTACCATTTCTCTTTTTCTTTTCAAATCTCTCTCTAAATCCTTGAATCAGATGCAGCCTTACTATCCCCGCATCCTCAAAAGGGGTATGTAATCATTTAAAGTACTATGATAAAACTATGGTCAGCCCGAAACAGTGGTCCTATACATGGTTGTGTAAAGTCCCACCGCCTATTGGCCCAAAACAATCTAGCATGCTAGTCATACCCATATATCTCCAAAATCACGCATGCAAACTTCATATAGTTTTCCCATCCAATAAATAAATAATTCCTATAGCTTTGTTTGGTTCCATAGGAAGGAGGTGATTAAGAGTAAAGTGGGATTGAGTGAGGAGACTATTAGTGTGGTGATATTAGGTTAGAGATGTGACACCTCAAAAGCATGGAAACTCGGACTATCTATAACACATACATTTCTATTCAATAAGCGGAAGCAAAACTAAGATTTCATACATTGAGATTCATGATGTTTTATAGTGGGTGTTTGGAAAGTTGGCTATTTTAGTAGGCTAAAATTTTTGTGTTTGGGAAGATGATTGGATTTTTTTGTAGTTGGATGTGATATTTGTGAGAGAAAAAGTGAAATGATTGTGGGTTTGATGTGGCATTTTGTCTTGTTGGCTATTTTAGCCTATTTTGTCTTTTTGTGGATTTTAGCCCAAAAAGCAAAAAATAGCCTTTGCCAAACGAGGCCATAGTATTACAAAATCAAAACACATGAATAATACATTCACTGATTCTAAAAGCTGAATCCATAGCATGTGATCAATAAGGATTAATATCTAATCTATTACATATCCATGCCTTATCTGCTACAGGTTTCCAAGACGATATTTGATTACAACAAAAGTGAGTTTTAAGCCCAATACATAGAAAGCCGTAGGATTACACAAAACAAAGTTCAAAACGAACATTCAACTCCAACGTCCTCCCAAGATATCTCCTTGGCGGAGGCATACCATCAGCATCTGAAATGTTTTTCCATATAGAGTGAGCTAAAGACTAGTAGAGACAAGTTTAATAACATGATGTTTAACAAAGCCAAATGGTGAATACATATGAAATGCCGTTACAGATTATATGTTTTCCCCCTTTTGAACCAATGCAATGCCAGAGTTCAAATTACAATTTATATATTTCCTTTAAGATAGAAAACAGGGCAGTAAATACACAAACTCTTAATCTCTAGGTACATGTCTGCAAGTAGGTTATAAAAGCACTACCAAAGCCGCTTTACCGACAACTAACCGGAAGGAAGGCATCCTA